TAAAGTTGCAGGAGACATTCTAAATGTTTTGACGGCCCAGGGGAAATTACATTTTCCTCAAAAAATATTTCGAAGAATTGTAGAAGCTGTCAAATGTTCCAATACATTTTTTTTTATTTTATTTTACTTAGATATACTATTTTTATAATTTGTACGTGTGCCAAGTTTCATTAATCATTAGTAACGTTTTTACACTTCCAAAGTTCCCAGTGTAGCCATGGCATGCAGTAAATCTTAGATGAAACCCACCCTCTACCAATTTCATCAACCCCGTAATTCCAATTTGGCGTTGGCGGTTGCGCTGTTTTTTAATCCCCCCAACCAAAGTTATTATCTGCGGTTTTCCGATGTGTTAATGACATTAAAATCGCATCAGATAAAATGTCGTGCGTAGAATGTTCTGCCAGCCCCCATCACATCTGTAATTGATTGATGACAATTATTGGATAGAGTTTCACGTAGTTACCTGTCGTTAGTTGTAATTAACGACGAAAGGATTTATTGACGGTTCTCCGTTAGTGTCTGAACTACACGTTGTTTTCGATATGTAGCGTAAGGCCGTGTCGTCGTTTCACTTGGCAGGGATGCTGCTTGCTAATTGCCAATCTCTTTGATCGTTGTAATTAAATACTAATTCCAATATTTATTTTGAGTTGAGCCCAATACCGGTTAAGCCGAGTGGAAATCAGTAAACAAATCGCTCGTATATGGGTGTATATGTTTGACGAAAACATTAAGCAACATGAAAGAGAGAATCGTTTTCGGAGTACTCATTAGATGTTCAGTTTGGGATTGTGTTTGCTGAAAAACGCAAACGTCGTGTCTGTATTGCAGTCTTTATTTTTTTCCAATAACTATCAGTAGAAAGAGAGAGTTTGTTGTATTTACTACTCACTGGATTTTACCCGATAGTTCGTTACCCTTTCCCACATCCTTATTAATTGAGTGTGACAAAAACACAGCAGAGTTTACTCGCTCAGTGAATTTCATATTCTAGAACCAAGCAAGGAAACAAAATAGACCCCGGAGGGTTGCTTATCTGGCTGTTGGCTTCCACTTGTGGATGTATTTATCGATAAAATAACAAAGCGGTTATGTTTTATGATAGTTGTGAAGTCGTTAGAAAAAGTTTATGGTTTCATTACGAAAAATTGATAGAATCAGTAAATTTATACACAACTTTTGTTACTTCGATTGTCACGTTTTTGTTAAACTGACATGACAAACAAAATGAAAAATATAAACATATAAATTACATTCTCAATGTTTTGAGTTACAACGTTTCAGGACGTTTGAGAAATATGTACAGTTCACAAAATTATTGGGAAATTGTTCACGGAATTCGTCCAAAAATTTCCTGAACATACTCCCAAAGTCTCATGTCTCATATGATTTAGCAACCACGTCATGAATATGTTCAACAAATGTACCTTAAATTTAAAGCCAAATAAAATTCCCAGGTCATTACAGAAAGTAGATCTCTTAATAATAGTACCATGAATAGTAATCATAATGAAACAACATTTGCTTCCTTGAAAATATTACTACTTTAATATGTTAGGTGTCAGACGATTGAGCCGGCACCAAAGAATCAGGAATTCAATAACATGTTGAAGCATTAACTAAGCATTCTTCCGTGGTAAAAATTTTACGATACAACGTAAAACATCCGGAAGATGGTTGATAACGCTTTAACCTTGCGGAACGCCAGATGTAACTATAGGCTTCGGGTCTTACGTTTTTTGCCCTTTTATATCTACTTCAGGCATTGCAGCGAAATTTATATATTTATCCGAATTTAAAAAATTCTGTTTATTTAACGCCCATTTATTGCTACCTAAAATGCCTAATTTACCGCTAGAGACCTAAAGTGTTAATTAAACGACCTAATTGTAAATTTTAAAAAGCTTAAAATAGGATTACACGACCAACGAAGCGGACGTGCTTGCACAATAGAGATTTTCCGTGAATTCATTGCTTTGGCTGGCACATTGTTTAAAAATGGGTTGTAAACAACGCCCTTGAGTTCAATGGTACGGGTTGGTGTCGCCAACTGGCAACCCTGGTCTGCATTTCATTTAGATTATAGACGGAAGGAGGTAAATCTCTGAAAAAGCATTTTATTTTAGAAGTTTATTGTTAGTGATACTGAGTGTCTTTGCGTGTTAGTGATTGTGCTGGGGCCGATTTTGATTTTTGTGCATACAGTAAAGAATCCTCAAAATGCCTAAGGTAAAATCATCCATGAATGATAAAATCAAATTATGGTTAGGGAATAATTTGGACACTAATTTTCAATTTTCTTCTTCAACCAAAGACAATGAGTTATTCTGCAAAGTGTGTGGAAAAGTTGTAAGTAAACATTTAAAATACTGAAGCTTGAATTATGTTCACATTTTTGTTTCCTAGTTTAAGTGCGAAAAAAAATATCACACTTTGAACAACGCTGCAGTGGCGATGCACATAAAATGAACCAGAATAATTCCAGTAAACAGACTTTATTATAGATTAGTTCCGACAATGATTTTACGCAATTTTGCACCGATTTATGTAGGGCATTTACCGCAGCAAATATTCCATGGAATAAAATTAGTTGTCCTGAGTTTAAAAATTTTATGCATACATACACAGAAAGGCATTTACCCTCAGTAAGCACTCAGAGAAAAAAATATTTACCAAAAGATTACGATATGGTGAGCACTAGAATTTTTATTTAAAAACCTTTTAACATAAATTTTATAATTTACAGGTAATTAAACAAATTAGAAATTCTATTGGCAATAATTATATATGGATTAGCGTCGATGGGACGACGAACAGATTAGGAAGATACATAGCCCATTTAGTAATTGGAAAGTTAACTTCTGAAGAAGCTGACCGTCCATTTCTACTAGCTTTGAAGCAGCTTGATAAAACTAATAGCAACACAATCTCGAGATTTATAAACTAATCATTGTGTGTGCTATTGATCATTTTAAGCATTAAAATTATTATAATTTGTTTAATTGTTAATTTGTAGCTTTATTGTGGCTAAAAGGAACTGAACACAAACAAGTTAAATGGTTTGTATCAGATGGTGCTTCATACATGATCAAAACTGGTACTAATTTGAAGGTGTTTTATGAAAATATAACACACTTATCATGTATGGCAGATGGGTTACATTTAATGTCTGAAACAATTAGACTGAATTATCCAGATGTCAATAGGATAATTAGCAATGTTAAGAAAATCTTTTTAAAAACACCAATAAGAGTAGAGTTTTATAAAAACAGTTTACCAAATACACCTCTCCCACCTGAACCTGTATTAACCACTTGGATTGAAGCAGCATTGTTTTATGCAGAACACTTTGATGTTTTAAAACAAGTCAGTTAATATATAATGGTTTTTTACTATCATTCTTATATTGAATATTTTTAGGTTGTAATGTCACTTTAAGCCACATATGCACAAAGCATTAAAAAACTCAAGAATTCCTGAATAAAGCAAACGTTAAAAATGAACTCTTGTACATTAAAATTCATTTTAAAATTAGTGCTGATGCAATAGAACAATTAGAAACTATAGGTTTAAAATTAAACCAAAGTATGGAAATTGTGGAAAAAGTGTATATATCTTTAAAAAACACACCAGGAAAGGTGGGGGAAATGGCGTTCCAAAAATTATGTTCTCTATTAAAAAAGAATCCAGGATGCGATTTTATATGTTCAGTAAATAACATAATTTGTGGTAATGGAAATGCTACCAACCTTACATACATAAATGAAAACATAGATTGTCCAATATTTAATTTTGCACCCATCACTTCTTGTGATGTGGAACGCACGTTTTCAAAACTTAAAAGTGTTTTAAGCGACCAAAGGTGTAAATTTATAGTCGAAAATTTAGAGAAATATATAGTTTGCTTTTGCAACTCATTTTAAATACCTGAATTAATATTTTATTTTTTGTTAAACGCGACTTCCTTTAATTTGATCGCCATTTTTTTGCGATAACTTGGAATTAGTGGACGTAACTATAGATCGTTTATTTATTTAATCATTTTTTTGTTTGTTACACAAAATATTTGTTTGTATAATGTTTTGTTTAATGTTTTTTAAATATATATTTTTTTGATGTATGCTTTTTCGTTTTTTCCTCCAGGTTTTTAACCTAAACTAAGATTTTTATAACCTAATTCGTCAATTTTGGGACCTAAAAATGTCTCCTTTTATTCATTTTTTAACGAGCTAAAATCCGAAGCCTAGTAACTACTAACTAGTTGAAATAAAGTTTCAATGTCTCAGAACAAATATACGCTTGCTTCCAAACTGCGGGAATTTAGAATATTTAAAATTGAGATTGAAGAGACCACATCAAAAAAATTGTTTCTGTAAGTGAACGTCAAATTGACGCCAGGAATTTTTTAATGATTTTTCGTGAACTTAGAATTGCCAACTATGTACCGTTGAGTTGGTGCGCCACTTTTTCAGCATCTTGTATCTTGTTAAATTTCAGCGTGTAATAATAAATTTTTTGTTAAACACAATATATGGATCACTTGGGTTTATAATTAAACTCATGTTTCAGATGTTTACTTTGACCAGCCTTGACGGTTGTGTGCTTGCCCTAAACTTTTTTCCGTAAAATATAAAATTTCTTTTGTTAACCTTTCTTTATTTTTGTCTACATGCTGACGCATTCATTCGTTGTAATATAATACTGACAAGCTATATTGTGTGTGGTAAGTGGATTTTTTTCCCAAATAGTTACATTTGACGTTGTTTACACTCACGCGACGCACTTTCCTGATCCGCTTTATTATTCATTTGGTTATTTAGTTATTTCATTTTTAGTTGGAATTATTTATAATACTAACGCAAACAAATTAAAATTGAATATTAAGAAAAATAGCTCCTAACATTTCGTTTGTCGTTGTAAACGCAATGAAACCAAATTACATATTTCACTTCAAATCAGGTAAAATTTGATTCGGAATAGCAATCTAATAGACTTCCTCGAACACAAATCAATTTATTTTGCTTTCATCGACAACGATTCTCCGCTTATGCTCTAATCCCTATTTGTTATGTTTTTTATCCAATCTATATGTGGGTAGAGTCTTGTAAATCCGGAAGGATCTGTGCTTTCGCAGCCATTCGTGCTCACGAATGTAGCGATGCCAACCTGTTTCATTAGACCCAGCCGCACATTCTGAACGAGGGGGCTGCCACTATCGCCCTATAATAGATATTAACATTAAATTGAATTACACGATTTTGGCCTTTGCTCACGATGCACGTTCCTTCGTTGTAGTTTCCTTCCGCACATACCATGTCATCGGTGATTTGGTTGCCATAAGTAAGTTTACACTCGGCGTTGGTTAATGTGGCCAAGTCGACGTAATGGAGGTCATTTTCGGGACCAGGAGTCTCTGGAAATGATGCTAACATAAAATTTCTAATAACACAAAAGAGAAGGGTCATAAGGGAAAATGTTTTTATGGCGAAGGAGGAGTAATTTTTTTTACCACAGTTGATTAAAAGTCGTAAGGGTATTCATTTAAACAGACAAGTACCTAGATGAATAAAATAGATGAATAAAATAAACTCAGTATCCAGTATAGTCTCCGCAGTTCTAATTCGGTTTTATGATCGTACCCCATTGTGAAAAAGTTAACTCCCTTAACAATGCATTACTACTGCCGGTGATGGGTCAGTTATAAATAAGGATGTTACCATTACACTGTAATATGGTTAAATATTTATTTTTGACGGTCCCATCACCGGCAGTAGTAATCTGTTGTAGTGGAAGTAAATTTTTACACATAGTAAAACCGAATTAGAACTGGGGAAACTATATATCATTCGCACCCAGCCAATCAAATGGTAATTTTTAAAAATCAAAATTTCAGTTATTTATGACAATTTTGGTCGCAACGCGTTATTACCAGTGTTTTCAACTTACAAAACTGTAGAAATAGTAGGAAACCTTGTCGATTTATTTTGTCAAAAAGGAGATACAGTAAAATCCTCTGCTCTATCATAAACATGGCTTGGCTGTTGTTTAGATGATGAATGATGATAAACTGTTTTCAAAAAACTGCCCTTATATTATACAGGATGATCAAAAAATGCCGACTAACTCAGCGGCACATTAAATTCGAGAGAAATCATAAAAAAATTTGTTGTTCATCAATTTCCCGTCCAAAACAAAATATCGAAAATTTGAAAAATTAGCAAACGAGTGGTGGGTAGTTAAAACAAGTTTGGATGACGTAATGTTAAAAGCTGTGAGTGGAAATTAATCTGACCGAGTAAAAGAGGGCAATCAATATTTGAATTAATAACTTTTTTCAAAAAATTTAGCGAGGCTTTGATGCGCCTAGACTGCAAATCCTGAAGCCCAAACCTCTCAAGCAGTAAGTTTTGGGGGTAACCCCTAGGAGGATTAACTCCATCCAGTCTGAGAACCAGGAAGTTTTCAAAGATATCAATGTGAACATTCGCCGACGGAGCCATACAACACTGCCATACGCTAGCTTTGATCTTGCAAAAGCAAAAAATAGAGATATAAATGTACTTATGTCTTTAGGAGCTTTGCAAGATATAATGATGAATCCTAAGTTCTTGACAGATTCATTAACAACGACATCATAGTGCAACGAAAATGTAAGTTTGGGATCAAACATAATGCCCAAATCTTTAAAGTAATGAACGCGTTTTAAGACTGTACTGCTGATGGTATAGTTATTGGTTATAACAAAGTTTTTGTTTGAAAAGATCATTGCATGGCATTTATCCAAATTAATGGGAAGGTTATTACAAGCACTCCAGTTATAGAATTCATTGATATCTTTTTGAAGTAAATAGCAGTCATAGTTGGAAGATATGCGCCTGAACATTTTTAGATCATCAGCAAGCAATGATACTTCAGAATTGATTCTTTTTACTACATCATTAATGTAGATGTCAAAAAACAATGGTCCTAAAACAGAACCTTGTGGAACGCCAGATAAGACAGGAACTTTGTCAGAAACATGACCAAGGTACTTAACACATTGCATTCTTCCCGTTAAATACGATTTAATCAGCTTCACTAAGCTATCAGAAAATCCAAAGTTGCGTAGCTTAAGTAATAAGATAGAATGATCACTCCTGTCAAACGCCTTTGAAAAGTCAGTATACACCACATCCACTTGCTGTTTAAGTTCAAACGACTCAGATACATATTGGGTGAAACAAACTAAGTTGGTAATTGACGACCTTCCTTTGATAAACCCATGTTGTGAATTACTTAAGCAGTTACGTACATGAAAGAATAAGAACCTATGAAGAAAAATTTCAAAAACTTTTGAAAAATTAGATATGAGTGAGATGGGACGAAGTTAACAATATCATCGCGTTTACCCTTTTTAAAAACAGGAGTAATAATAGAATATTTCCATATATCAGGAAATGATAAAGTTTTAATTATTAAGTTAAAGATAATACATAGATAACGGATAACCACAAACGGCCGCACAATCATTAAGTAAAAATCCAGGAATATTATCATAACCAGAAGTTAAGTTAGCCTTAATTTTTTTCAACGCCGCATAAGTATCTGACTCATTTACAAAGGCTAGATGAATGGTAGTATTCACGGACCCATCAACAAACTTATTCCAATTGACATTGGCAGCGCTAGTGAACCCTGAACTAAAGTGGTCAACAAAAGCATTAATGATATCTCTTGGATTATCAATTAATCGATTTAAGTAATTCATCTGCATATGTATCCAGATTGTTTCTTTAAGTTGCTAATGTGACTCCAAAATTTATTAGGATTTTCTTTAATATCAGTTTCAAGATTCTCAAGATATCTGCGATGTCCCAACTTGATGTCATTCTTTAATGAAGAGCGAATAGTCTTAAAATTGCGAATGTTATATTCAGATCTGTTGGTTCTAGACAAACGCCATAATTTGGACTTCAATTTAAGTTTCTTTCTAATGCCATAGGACAACCAAGGTGGATACGAGCTTAAACGAGAGGAACGAGACTTGGGAACATGTACATCCAAAATGTTGTTTAATTTACTATGAACAGGAACATGCTAAGTTAACATCAGTGATGCTTTTAAGAAAGGACGAGTCAAAACATAATAGATGCTCATACAACCTAGTAACATCCGCTCTACGAAAATTCCAACGCTGCAAGGAGGGATGACCGTTAATGGTTTTATCTTTAGATTCTCGATTTTTAAAAGAAGCTAACAACTTTGGGTGATGAGAATCCTCTTCCAGAAGAGGATTGTCACAAGAGCTAATAAAACAATGAAAGTTAGGCAGAACCAGATCAAGATATCTCCCAGACTTATTAGCGATATTATTATATTGATTAAGTTCAAAAAAGTTCAAAAAAGACATCAACGAGGATAATTTACTATTGCCAGATTTATCACACAAAGAATCTTTGTTATAATCAGGAAGATTGAAATCACCAATAATTATTACACGTTGGTTGAATAATTCTTCTAGATTACCTGGTAAATTGAACAATAGTATGTATTCATCAACCGTACATTTAGGTGGAATATAAACAATGAAGATATAGAAACTGAAATAGCCAACACTACATTTAGCCCCAGGAATGTCTGTTAAAATAAGCATGTCAAACCCTTTAGATGCCAGGTCAATTTGGATAGTTGAAAATTGCAACTTGGATGCAAGAAGAACTCCTCCTTCTCTAGTTACATTAGTTTAGACTATATAATTGTTAGGGCAAAATTCGGAGTTAAGGACAGAACTAGAAAGCCAAGTTTCTGTAAGGCAGATAAAATCAAAATCGCAACACAATAAAGATTGATAAAGTTCATTAAATTTAGAGTTAATACCACGAGTATTTTGATAATAAAGTGTGATAAATGCATCCTCAACAGTTTTAACTACAGAAGGAGGGATATCAACAACAGAATTCTCGATTGATATGTCGCTACTAGACTGCAATGATGATAAATTTAGGGAGTCGAATGAATCTGCAAGGAATAATTGCTATGAAGATAAGCCAAAAACATCACGTTTTATTTTGTTGATAGCAGCACCATATGAATGGCAGTTATCTCGGTCCCAAGCAGCATGATCAACATTTATTTGATCATGATTACCAGACGATTTCATGTTGGTACAATTTATACAACGCAGCTTCTCGGCTTGACACTCTGTAACACTATGGTTCCCAGCACACCGAGGACAGATAACATTACTTTTGCAAGAGTTGGATGAATGGTTAAAACCATTACAAGTGAAACACCGGAAAATATCAATACCACAAAAGATATAACATCTGTCTAAAACTATTAGGCAGTGCCCTATGCTAATGGCTTTTTTATAGGAGGCGATATGTACTTCAACAATTACTTCAAAACGGTCAGACTTATTTTTCACAGGCAAAAATTTATATACATTTTATATTGTATACATTCTCTTCATCGTTGCTAAAAATAAACTCATTTTGTTTGACCAAAAAATCCAGAACACTTGATTCACTAACATCCTTGGAAATTCCAGCAATTCTGATACGAGGCTTAAGTGTACTAACTTCTCTTATATCATACGCTCCCGTAAGTTTATCATCAGCTAGACGTTTAAATCTAGTTATATCCTGACATCCAAGAAGAATACCGCCATCTTTAAGATTTTTGACTTTGCTAACAGAATCAATATTTGCCATAATGTCAGATTTTGTCTTATTGATGCTCTGAGATTTATCTTTGGGACGAACAATAACTGTATTATTTATACTCTTAGCTACTGTTTCCGCATAAGTTTCCCTGGCGAAAGTAGCAGAAGACGTGGACACAGAAGTTTTATTCGAGCTACCATTATCTTTAGCAAGTTTAACAACATCTTCCCTGCGCTGAGTATTCTGATTACTTAATTGCTGGATCTCAGACTTAAGAGAATCAATTTGCTGAATAAGTGGCTGCAATTCCCAATTTATAATGTTGGTAACCAAATGTTTAAATTCAGCAACAGAAATGGTAACTATTTCGTCATCAGCAGAATCAGTTTGTATACCAGTAGATGAAGTATTTTTTTTCAGTTTACAAAATGAGCACAGCCACTCATTAAGTAACTCTTTATCATCCATACTTTGATAACTTTCTACTATTAAGCCACCGCATTTTATGTGATAATAATGTTTACACTGATTACATGATACATTCAAGTCATTACGCCCAATCTTAAGGAAGCATTTACTGTTTAATTTAACTTACACTGAGGTTTACGTTTTAAGTTAAAATTAAGAAATACTGTCATGCTAATTTCTGTCCAATTGGACAACTGTTTATATTCATTGACACAATTAAAATGCTTGATCAGTTTTTTTGAGACCATAAGTTATATATTAGACAGAGATAACAAATATAAAATTGTTTAGATGGGATATTGTTTTGAAAAAAACAGTCCTAGCAACAATCATAACAAAAGACAGAGAAATTTTCCAAAAAGTTTTGTAAAATATGTTCTATGACATTATTACTTATTAGCTCACTCAGTTATGAAGAACTAATTAACACATTTTGATTGTAATTATTTACTTATGTTCAAATGTAATTAAATAATAATAGATAATCAGTGAAGTGATACGTAAGAAGAAGTAATGAATTCGTAATGAAGCATAGATAACTAACATAGCCAACTAATTAACTAGGGACTAATCGTACTTAATCACAGTCAACTGTAATTGTTGAGTGATAACCGTAATGAACATTGCGTTAATTGTAATGTCTCGTTAATTAATGATAATTACTTGTATTTAACTGGGCTAATTTCTAGATATCTAGGCTTAATAATACTTGATCGCTAATGGATCGATTAGTAGATTATTTACACTAGTTAATTACACTAGCCATATTTAATTACACAGGCTGCGTTCAACTGTCATACTGTCTTTGTCTTCGCCCGCAAAGCAATGAGTGCGAGAAAGACAGCTTGCTCGTTCAACACCAACTTGAGAATGTTTTTTATCGCATGAGATAATTATGATTAATGGTAAACTACACTTAACTCTAGTCAACAACAAATTATAATAAGTGATTTAGTCATTCGACTTTTTTTGTGTGCTTTGTTCTGTAAATAATGTATGCAATTATTCAAATAAAAATGAGGAGGTATATTTTACCCAAATTAGAAGAATTATACGTATCTATAAGGTGCCTAAGTTTTCTCAATAATTGTGTTTTTCTTGACAACACAGGTACACTATTTTTCGTATAATATTAAATTTAAAATAGCTGATTTTAACATTTTTTTACAGACATATTAAACTATGGAGAAAGAAATCAAATACAAAAATAACCCTAGGGTTTTTTTTTGTCGTATTGCAATTTCAGAAATAAAATGTGGATGTAAAACCCGAGAAAAGACCACTCAGGTGATACTCACAATATAAAAATACCTAAGCAATATTATTACGAATAAATGTACGCAAACTTACCATCACCAAGCTGCCCCCACCCAATCGCGATAGCTCCCTCTCCCGCCTCAAGATCTTCAGTCGGAAGGTAACTCACACTCCAGCGATACCCTACAATAAATTATTGACACCACAATCGTCATAAAACCCCACTACATATTTATACCAACTATCAAAGGCATATCCATCCGAAGCACAACAAAACCAACGTTATTTTCTAACGTCTCTGGATTGTAGTCAGGATGCAAAATATAATCATTTGTTGAGGCATCATAACGATATGCCTCATCCCCTTCTAGACGGTTTGAACCAGCTTGTACATTAAAAACGATTCCACTGTGGAACACCAAACCCTAGTGTGATGAATTGGTCATTGTTATACTCACCCATCAACGCAGTGTGCAGCTGTTAAAATATGCCTTGTTGTCAACAGGGATCCCCCACAGAAGAATCTGGAATCTGAAGTTTGCACAAAAATTGCCACAGCGAAAGGAAATTGGCCCGCTCGAGCTGGATTTCCTCCGATTATGCGTTCTAAAATTATTATATTTCAAATTCGATTTGTGATTTAAAGATTTTCAAAGCAACATTACCATTTCTTGGAATTTTGTGCTGTAGGCTTGGAACGCCAAAAATAAGCAGAGTGGTGATGATGTAGCGGTACATTTTGTGAGTGTTTAATGAACAATGGGAATATAAATAAGTCAAAAGTAAAATGATGACTAAATGTTTATTTTTATCTTTAAGTTCAATAAAAAAAATTTGAATATATGATATTTAGCGATAAATTTGTTTTGTTTTATAATATTTATCGGTTATCTATAAACCTGTTTAACGATAAGAGCATAGTGGAGAGTAATAAATTTATTTTGGTAATTAAATCACAACTTTGCTGTCGCTATTGTTACGAATTAAATGGCAAGTCCTTTGTAAAATGAAAGTTGTTTGTTATATTTATTTGTTTCAATTAATTGGAGGCAATCTGATATTTCTGACAAAAAATGCTCACACTTATCGACTGTGCGACAATAGTACTTGAGAAAAATCCCCAAATTTTATCGATCTCTAAGAGTGATCAAGTCAAATTGCTCAGATAATTTCATGAATAGAACCTCTGATAAGTCAGTTTAAAATAAAAGTTACGAAAAACACAATTTTATTAAATAATATTCTAGGTACATAAATTATTCTATTGCGTTTGATGTTCTTCATCTATGTGGTTTCATCGCTGAAGCTTTTGCTATTATTTCTTGTGATGCTTTTTGTTAAGTTGTACATATAATTTTATTGATGCAGCTTTCTCATGACCAGACATTCTTATTAATTCCGGTTCATTAATTCCAGCTTCGTCATCTGAGACGCCACCAAACGACGGATGAAATGGTTTGTAGTTTTTTTCTTTTATCATCGATTCATTCCTTTCAGTAGATTTTTTGGTCCATCTAGCTGTTTCATTTTTTTCCTGCAGGGACATCCTCATGGTACTTGAGGTTCTGTTCCAAAAGGATGCGGTGTTAAAACATTCTTTTACATTTACATGGTTAAGTTTCTTATAGAAACTAAACTTACCATTATCTTCATTTAGTTCGTAAATCACGCAAGAATAAAGTTCAAAACATTCCCTAGTAGTTAGACGAAATGGCATTTATATCATTGTCAGTCTCATTTCACAACCTTCATTTCTTTGTGTTGCTTGCAATATGGATTAGGATTAGTATATTGAAGAAGAAAAATGTCTCTAGCAAAAACTCACTTACATTTGGCCCGTTCAGAGGACACTAGACGGAAAACCTTCACTCGAAAACTTGAGAAGTTTCTTCGTTACGACTATGGCAGTTCTTGAAGTTTTTTCTCTTTCCATTTCTAGGTGGCATCTTTGGTTTGGTATCGCATAAAGGATTGAAATTTTCAAATTTATTCAACAAAGAGTAGATTTAAAATTTAATTTTCGAATGGTTTAAATCCTCGTGAGCAAACATTATCGTAAATCTGAGTAAGACAAAACAAAACAGAAGTTGCCTTCGTTATTGATACACCAGCACGTCCTCATTACACTCTCTTTGGAATGGATTTTTCACAATTTTTTATTTTTCCGCGCTGATTGTCTAACAAGCTGTTAATAAAATGTGTCGAATGTTAAATATAAAATTGAGAATGAGTTCTTCCTCTTCGAATAACAATTCCGTTATCCCCGAAGCAAAAACTTCCTAATTGAGTTTGTTCCATTTTTAAGCGAAACTCGCTGCCGAAAAAAGCAATTTGTTTCTTTACTTTTTCACAATTTATCGAAAGCATGTTCAAAATAAATGCGAACGGCTACAGATAAGAAAACAGAAATAAATTAAACGCACTTTGTGGATTATATTTCATCGGTTATCGTTTTGCATTGGTGTTATCTTAGATAATAGTAAGATTTGGAGTGCATACATGAAAATTAATTAATCCAGCTTGTGCCTACATGCTTTTGTTTTGTTTGAGTAAATAGATGTTGCAGTGTATAATATGCCCAAATTAAAAGGAAACAATTAGTGTTTACTGTATATATTAACTTGTTTAAACAGTACACTACATGCTCACGTGGGATATGATGAAGGGTCTGGGTATTCCGTTGTTTGAAGAGAGTAGAAATTTTCGGTCAACATTCAAACTGTGCGAAACTTTGTTTAAAAAAAACATTGTATTGTGCCGAATTAATTAATCCGGGTTAAGGAAAATAGTTGGGAGTAGCTGGCATCCCTTTGTCCGATTTTTACAAATAAAGGATTTGCACTAGGGAGAATAATTTAGTTTTTGGGTTATAAATAAATTAAATTGTTTATACTGAAGTTTTCAAAACTGTCAAAAGACATCACAGACATCAAGTATTACCTTAGTGATTAATTCTTTGAATGTTTCTAGGGGTTTTCATTGTGTATCTTTTTTTTTCTAACAAGATTAGAAATGAGTTGAATGGACACTTTGAATGCAACATGAAAATGAAGAACTATTATAAATTTGATTTTTGAGATAAATAATTAAATATAGTGGAATCTAGGTTTTGGTGGATATTTAATCTGACGGTTTTTATCGCATGGATATTCTTGGAGACTATTGAACCAATTACTTTACTAAATTTTAAAAGCGCTCTAACATTATTTCTACATAGCTAAACGGTTACCAAAATCTGTTGATTTTTCTCTTCAAAAAAATGATAACATTTTATCAATTATCACTATGTTAATATCAAATAAATAAAAAACTTTTGTTTAATAATTCGCTTCTATTTTTAACTGTAGGTGTAGTGGGTGACGAAAAAAATTAGTTTGGACCATCAAATTATACATTTTACTTCAGAGATTATATTTTTAGAAATTGTGGTAATATTATAATAGTGGAATGCAGGACAATTAAGATTCATTCTTTCCGTAAAATTACTGACTTGCTAAACAATTATATGAATTTAATGGTGTTTCTGTAATATTTTTTCAATTTTCTTACACAGGATGCCTAAAAATAATGTATAAAACAATTTATTAATTTATTTACTTATTTTCTAAGCAATGAATATTCAATTTTTCGATAAATTTGAGACACTTGACTACTTTACTGGAATTGAACTGACTTTTTTTGGCGTACACAATTATGTTCTGGAACTTCCTTAAAACTTTATTTTATCAATTCTCTTTTTGTGAATGTGTTGAGGATGTGTTCTGGTAACACCTGTTGCTTCTATTTTTGCATATGTTCATATTTTCTCTGTGTGTGATTTTGCAGGCTGTAAGTGCTATAATAATAAAACCGAATTCTCTGAAATTTTACAAACGTTTTAAGGTTACGAGAAGCATGATAAATCGTTGATCAAAACTATTCGTTTTTGTCCTTCCAAGAAATGATGACGTCATCTTACAATTCAGCCGAATAAATTTTCTTAAAATTTTGTAAAAAACTTACTCCTGCATGTGTAATTTATTAATCCGTGTTCAGTTTTTAGATTTTTTTGGAAAAAAATCAAAATTGTTTAACAACATTTTAAAATGGCCTCTAGAATACGAAAAATACATAGATCTTTCGCTTCCGTTAGTGTGTCCGTCTCCTATCTGTCCGAACTTTTATTAGACAGATAATCTACGAAACTGCTGGCCCGATACCTCTCAAATTTTATATTTATGTTAAGAATTTCTGTAAATGGTAAAAATTTAACCAAAATTGATGACGTTATTTCTAAAATTTACAATAATAAATGTAATTTAAATTTTCTAAAATAACATACCCCTGGTTTATGAATCCGTGTTGAATTTTTACCCTAGATATCCAAATTTTTTAGAAAAAAATCAAAACTGTATTACATCTTGGGATTTAACACTGAGACTGCAAGCCGGATGCTCTGAAAACATGCAGACGTTTTAAGGTTATCGGAAGCATGGTAATTTGTTAATAATTTTTTTTACTGTAGCAAATGATTTAGCTTCTAATAAAAAAGAAGGCGGGTGGACGGCGCTAGTACTTCACTGATTTTGGTATATGACATATCCTTTAAGAAAATAAAGGGTGGGTGGGTGGGGCTAAAACTTGCTAAGGTAAAACTGAGCAATATTTAGAGTAATCACTGGAATGAAGAAGGGGTGGGTGGGCGGGGCTATTTCTTACTTGTAAAAGACTGCACGAAAAAGTTAAACTTAGCCCCACCCACCCACCCGTTCTCTCTTTTTTTTTCTGAAATAAGAAATAAATCTTAAGAAAATAGTATAGCAAAAAAATTACGATTAGCGCTTTTTTAACAGTCTACTTTCTATTAGTTTCCATTCGCACTCCACTAAAGAACATACAATTAAACACGCCCACCCACCCCACCTCCATTTCAGTGATTCATTTTATATAATTCGAATGAAAGGTGGATCTCAATTGAACAGAGATAAAATCTTTACAATGAGAGCAGTGTAGGTGTGTGGACGGGGCTAGTACTTGATGCGATAAGACTGATTTTGGTATATGACATATCCTCTAAGAAAATAAAGGGTGGGTGGGCGGGGCTAAAACTTGCTAAGATAGAACTGAACAATATTTAGAGTAGTCACTGGAATGAAGAGGGGGTGGGTGGGCGGGGCTATTTCTTACTTGTAAAAGACTGCACGAAAAAGTTAAACTTAGCCCCACCCACCCACCCACCCGTTCTCTTATTTTTTTCTTCTGAAATAAGAAATAAAGCTTAATCAAAAAGTATATCAAAAAAATTACGATTAGCTCTTTTTTTGACAGCCTACTTTCTATTAGTTCCCATTCGCGCTCTATTAAAAAACATATTTTTAACCCCGCCCACTCACCCCACCTCCATTTCAGTGATTCATTTTATTTAGTTCGAATGAAAGGTGGATGTCAATTGAACAGAGATAAAATCGTTAGAATGAGAGCAGTGTAGGTATGTGGGCGGGGCTAGTACTTGATGCAATAAGACTGATTTTGGTATATGACATATCCTCTAAGAAAATAAAGGGTGGGTGGGCGGGCCTAAAACATGCTAAGATAAAACTGAACAATATTTAGAGTAGTCACTGAAATGAAGACGGTGTGGGTAGGCGGGGCTATTTCTTGCTTAATTATTACTTTTTCCTAATTTTCGAAGACGGTTGAAAAATTATCTAAAATTTCGTAGGCATTGAAAAACTAAAGTTTTGGAAAAGTTGTTAAAAAATAATGAAAAAAGTCTGCCGTGTAAATCTCAGCGTGCTAATTTGAAAAATATAAAGGTTTTAATGTTCCAGAGTAAGCAGAAATATTCGGAAAAAAAAATGAAAATATCATATTTCATTTGCTGATTCTGCCAAAATGGTAGGAATTTTCGGAGAAACGAAGTCTAATATAACTTCTAGAAGTTGAATTCTACAAAACAATATCTCTAGGTAACTTTCGAATGTGGTCGAGAAATGATCAAAGATTTCAAAAATTGCTAACTACTGAAAAATGAGATTTTAGAAAAATGGCCTAAAAATCTATAAAAAAAATTTTGGAATTGGCGGTTTTGGAAAAGTGGTAGGATTTTTCAACGAAATAAAGCCGAAAATATTTTCTGGGAATCGAGATCTGCAAGAAATTAAATGTCTGTTAAATCGGAGGTTTCAGAGTAATAAAAGCGTCAGGGGACTACAGAGAACAGTCAAAAGAAACAGAAGAACTAATTTTTCATATTCCAAGAATTACGAAACGTCTAAATATCACGAAAATACTACCTTACGCTTGTGAATTAAAATGAGATGTAAAACAAAAATACCAGTGACTATTTGGCGGCACAACTAGCAACAAAAAAATTCTGAAAAAGTGATATTTGATAAAAAAAATATCAAAAATTTGTCATCTTGTGCAATTTTCGACTAATTTTTTTCATCAAGTGCGATTTCGTAGCGTTATTT